ATATAGGAGGAGTACATGCAGGAGTGGTGAGTGGTGCATGCAGAAGAGAGGGACTGTGTGGAGTAACTTGTTTTGTAACAACCCACTTATAACTGATCCACTCCTGTAAGACCGAACCCAGTCCTGACAGACAAACATTAATCCCTACCAAAGCTGATGTCCCCATGATCTGGTATGTACAACTAGACCCCGCCTCTTAAAGGTTACACTACCTCTTGGATCCATCACACTGGGGACCAAGCTTCTAACACATGAATCTTCAGAAGAAAAAACCAAATCCAAACCACAGCAACATCTGTTGGACCACACAAGTCACAGCCTCTACAACAGCCCCCAAAACCTCATCCCTCTTGGCGTTCGCATCCTAAATACTTCCCTCCTACACTGTACCACAGTTGGTCTGTGTGACCAGAAGCATACAGCAGAAGTAACAGAATGCCACTTCTGAGCTCTGGTTCTAAAAAAAAACTGTCACTTCCCTGTTGGGATGTCTTCTTCTCTTGGATAATTCACTTTGAGTGCAAACACATCATGGGCCAACCTAAGGGAAGGTCATGTGATAAGCACCTGAAGTCTATAGCCAACAGGCAGCTACATTCTCTCAACAGCCATATGAAAGAGCTAGAAGCAAACTTCTCAGCTTCAACCTTAAGATGACTTAAGATGACTGCAGCACTGGCCAATAGCTAGACTGTTACTTCATGAGAGACCCTTGGCCAGAACCAACCAACCAAGCCATGAAGAACCAATCCAGGGCCATGGGCACTGAGAGATAATACATGTTTGTTCTTTTAATAGGATATCTTTCGCTATAGCAACAGTTAATAATCCACACAACATAGACTTAATATGTTCCAAAGAGAATTTACTATTTCCCCATGATGACTACCAATTTAGTAACTCCTTAATCTTCCTCTTTTTATTGATTTTTGACAATTCCAACTCATCAGTGAATTCTATGGAATGAAAATCCAAAATATTTATCAAAACCATTCATTCAATAAATATGAATTAAGAGCCCACTTCACATAAGGCATGGCATCAGCTGCTGGAGAAACAGCCATAAACTGGCAAAAACTGTATCCTCATGTACTTGACGTTCTTAGGAAAATGAGTTTACAAATACACTTTACAAACAAGATGTACAGTATACCATATGGGAATAAGCAATACGGAGGAAAAATAAAGTGAGCAGGATGATAGAGAATGCCTTGGTGTGTGAGAGGTGCTGCAGTGTTTGCTTGTTTATTAAAAATCTACCTTGTGGTGGTATTGCAAGCACAAAGTACCGCATGTAAGGCAATTTGAACAGTACATGGCATATGGAAGATTCTTTTCTGATTTGTTTTAAAGATTTACTGATTGACTGAACGCCAGAGAGACAGAGAAAAGAGAGAGACACAGAGAGAGAGCACAAGAACTTCTATCTCCTGATTCACTCCCCAAATGCCTACAAAATCCAGTAGATCAGGCCAAAGCCAGGAGCCCACACCATTATCCATGTCTCTCATGGGGGTGGCAGAACCCAAGAACTTGAGCATCCTCTGTTGCCTCCCAGGCTCATTTGCTGGAAGCTGGATCAAAAGTGGAGGCAGTAGAGTGTTTTAAAATTCTATCTGCAAAAATTAATGAAAAGAAAAAGGGAGGAAAAGAAGGGGTTGGGAGGTGGGGAGGGAGGGAAGTATGGTTATCTTTTGAAACTGTACTTATGAAATATATGAAATCTGTTTTCTTTATATTAATAAAAATAATAAAACATTAAAAAAAGAGGAGTCAGAGTTATGGTGCAGCGGGTTAAGCCACCATCTGAGAAGCCAGCATCCTATACAGGCATCAATTCAAGACCCGGCTGCTCCACTTCCAATGCAGCCCCCTGCTAATACTCCTGGGAGAGCAGTGGAAGATGGTCCAAGTGCTTGGGCCCCTACACCTACAAGGGAGATCCAGAAGAAGCTCTTGACTTTGAACTAGTCTAGCTCCAGCTTTTGTAGCCATTTGGGGAGTGAACCAGCAGATGGAAGGTCTCTCTCTCTCTCTCTCTCTCTCTCTCTCTGTCTCCCCCTCTCCCTCTCTCCTTCCCTCTGTGTCTCTCCTCCACTGTGAACTCTTTCAAATGAATAAATACATCTTTTTTTAAGAAAAAAAGAACATTTCTAATGGACACTTTGCATAAACAGGACAAACAACAACAGCAAAAAAGAAGTAGAGGCAGGACTCAATCCCAGGCACTATGATATAGCATTCAGGCATCTCAAGTGGTGGCCCAACCCACAGCATCACCAAGCCCACCCCAAGGAGCACTATTTTAAATGAGCTGGCTAAGAAGGCCTCACTGATTAAGTGGCATCTGAAAACCACTTCCTCTGTCTCCACTGCCACTACCCTTGTCTATGCCACCATGATCTTGCGTTTGGGCTTCACAACAGTCACCTTTATATCATTCCCCCTGCCTCAAATCCTTCAGTGGCTCCCTACTGATGTTAGGTAAGAAAAAATCCAGAGTCTTTTCCAGGCTGCACACAGCCCTGGTGATCTGGTTCCAACTCTGCTTTCCAACTTCATCCTGAACCAATCACCCAAGCTCCAGCCACAAAGATCTCTGGAAGTTTCCAGAACACACCAAGTTCTTTCATACCTTTCCCACCCCTGCAGTTCCCAGAGAAATGAATGAACATCACTAGGTGTTTCTCATCCTTCTAAATCAGCATCTAAACTGATCAGGCCTCCTCTTCACCTCTACACCCAAAGTGCTTCCCACTCTATCTTCCTTGATTGCAACTCCACTTACAATTTGTAGCTGTTTTTCTTTTTCTTTTTTTGTAGTTGTTTTTCTTTCTTACTTGAAAGGCAGAGATACAAGCCAACAGAAAGAGAGAGATCTTCAATCCACTAATTCACTCCCCAAATGCCCACAACAGCTGGAGCTGGGCCAAGCTGGAAAAGCAAGGAACCAGGAACTCAATGAGGTCTCCCACATAGATGGTAGGGACCCTACTACTTGAGCATTACCTGCTGTCTCCCACAGTGTGGAGCCAGGGCTCAAACCCATCGCAGGGCATCCTGAGTGGCATCTTAGCCACTGTGCCCAACAGGCAGCTGTGTTAATCTGTTTATTCGTTCTTTGTTTCCTTTAACTTCTTCACTTCCAAACATCATAAAAACCCCAAGAGACAGGTGTTCTCATTTTTCCAGTTCTCTATTGGAACCCCAGTGTCTAATGAGGTATGAAATACGTATCCCTGGGGCCGGCGCTGTGGTGTAGTGGGTAAAGTCGCCGCCTGCAGTGCTGGCATCCCATAGGGGCACCAGTTCGAGTCCTGGCTGCTCCACTTCCAATCCAGCGCTCTGCTATGGTCTGCGAAAGCAGTAGAAGACGGCTCAAGTTTTTGGGCCCTTGTACCCATGTGGGAGACCTGGAAGAAGCTCCTGGCTGCAGACTGGCGCAGCTCTAGCCATTGAGGCCAGCTGGGGAGTGAACCAGCAGATGGAAGACCCTTCTCTCTCTCTCTCTCTCTCTCTCTCTCTGTGTGTAACTCTTTCAAGTAAATAAATAAATCCTAAAAAAAAAATGTATTCTTTTGATGGAGTAAACAGGCCCTTCATAGCCAGTTGGCCATTTCAACACTAAATTTGACCAAAAATATCAACTGATAAAACAATTCCATAAATTATTTTATAAATTAATTTATAAATCCATAAATTATTAGCTCAAGTAGAGACCTAGAGATAAATTACGTGCTCAGGAAAGATAAGCAACTTGTACAAAGTCACAGAGCTGGCACTAGAACTACAATTAGACTCTATTCATTATGGGTCCAAAGTTCTTTAATCCAGCAATCCCTCTAATTTCCCACACTGAAGAAGGGGCAAGGTTCTCATGTAGTTAAGTTTGATGTGGTCCAAGAAGCAAGTCCATGGCCTTGGAGTCAGGAATACACACACACACACACACACACACACACACACCCCTTCCTCCCTTCCATAAACTTCCCTGCAGGGTGGCTTAACCCTTCAAGGCTTTCACTTCCCACCTGTACCACCATACCCCCTCAGGGGTGAGAAGTGATGACACTGCTTAAAGCTCAGACCCCCCCCCCCCAACTGTTACTAACAAACAATACAAGGTTGGATACCGCTATTATGATTCTGAAATCAAGGAATGAAAAGAAAATGTTTTGCTGTTTTACTCTGTCTATATTACGTCTATCTTGGTAAGTTTTATAACACTAAAGCAACATTAGCCCCACAAACGAAAACAGAATTTCAAAGTACAATCGCACTTTCTGAATTTGGTGTTCAAATGATCTCTATGAAAATTAAGCTGTTGCTGGCTACCAACAGCAAGTTGTCTGGTGTTTTTTTCTTTGCAGTGTGCACAGAGATTTCCTTTTGGAGGGGGTCGGTTATTTCTAGAATTGCATCAGGCCGGAAGGATCACGACCGTCCACGGGAAATAAGACTTAACAGGCCCACAGGATGGCAGAGCCCTAGGTCTCTTATCTTAGAGACGTTCATTCTCTGTGACAACGAGGATGAAGCTCCTTCAGGACGAGAATAAATGCCCGTAGGTTTTCTCCTCTACAGAGACGATTTAAAGAGCAACGGACTGGTGCTCCCAGACGACGCGAAAGTTCTCACCCGCAGGTGTCCTCTCTCAGGTATGCGCTGCACCAAGCACACCCTACACCCGAGCGCTGGCAAGTGTTCGGAAAATCTTTATGAGAGACCACGAAGCGCCAGGCTGAGTTCCTGGGCTTAGAGACTTGAAGTCTGGAGCGCCAGCCACCGCACATCGCTCAAACCCGGCCCTCGGCCCCCAGCCTCCAAGCCGAGCGTGGCGGGACCTCGTCTTTGCAGCCTCCGCGGGCACTCGGGCAAAGGCAGGAGAGCCCAAGCGCAGGCCCCGCACCGTCCTTGCCCAGCGCAGGCCTCACGGCGCTCCCTTCGCGCGCACAGCCCTCTGGCAGGCACCCCCGGGCGTCGAGTCCCACACTTCCTACCGGGCCTACAGCTCCTGCACCTGCTCAGGCTCCAGGTCGCCTGCCCTCCGCTCGCCAAGCGCCGCCTTCGCCTCTGGGACCCTTCGCAAGACAAACTCCCGGGCCTTTTCCGTCTCCCAGCTCTGCTCCCACTTCACCCTCCCCACGGGTCATGTCCCCGCCCCTGGGGCCAGGCCAGGCCCGGCCACGCCCCGCGGGGGGCCAGCCACGCCTCCACCTCGGTCCTGGGTCACGCCCACCACCCCTGCCCCGCCACGCCCACTTTCAAGGCCAAGTCTAGACTCGCTCCAGCCAGGGGCGGGCCTGTTCCGGAGCAAGCAACTTGCTTGAAGCTGCAGGATCTGCTTAGCGGCAAAGGCTGGGTCTGTTGTGGACAACCCCAAGTATCCTGAAAGTAGAGGCCTCTCATCGCTCTCTAATTTGTCTAACTCAGAAGAGTGAGGGCCTAGATTAGGGTAAAGGACCTGCGTTTTCCCAAGATCCCGTTTGCCCAGAGAATAGTCTGGAACAATGGAGCCTTTTCTTCAAGGATAACAAATCAGAGGTGGTGCTCTGGCCATTGGGTGTCACAGTATGGTCTGGAACCCCATCCTGAACACACATGACTTTGGGTTTTTGTTCCCGATTCTTCTTTGTGTCATGCCTGGGGGCTTGAGTTTCCTCATCTTTACAGTGCTCTGTTGGAGCGCGTCACTGGCCCAGGCACTCTATGTGGCTGAAGCAGGGTTAGTGGAGAGGTATGTATCAGTGTGTCTGCCAAACGTGCTGTCAGAAGCAGTTAGCTACAATAAAAAGTAGTACCTTTAAATATTAGCTTGTTCTCAGTTTAATCCTGAATTCTGACAAAGAGGACGGGTACACAAGGGTTAAGAACCTAATAATAATAATAATAGTAATAGTAATAAGTGTTTCTCATGCAAGGCTTTGTAACAGGTATTTGTTATCTTTTTTTTTTAAAAGAGAGGGAGAGTTACAGACACAGAGAGGGAGAGACAGAGAGAAAGGTTTTCCATCCGCTGGTTCACTTTCCAAATGGTCACAAGCAGCCGGAGCTGTGCTGATCTGAAGCCAGGAGCCAAGAGTGTCTTCCAGGTCTCCCATGCAGGTGCAGGGCCAAAGGCTTTGGGCCATCTTCTGCTTTTCCAGGCCATAAGCAGAGAGCTGGATTGGAAATGGAGCAGCTGGGACATGAACCGATGCCCATATGGGATGCTGGCACCGCAGGAGGAAGCTTAGCCTACTATGACACAGTGCTGGCCCCTATGTTATTTTTTTAAGAAAGATTTGTTTTGTAAAAGGCAGTTACATAGAGAGTCAGAGAGAGGGAGGGGGGAAAAAGAGAGCGAGAGGGTGCACACTTCTATCCCCTGCCTCACTCCCAGAATGGCTGCAATGGCTGTGGCCGGGCCAAGCTGAAGCCCAGAGCCAAGAACTCCATCTGGGTCTCCCACAAAAGGCCCAAACACTTGGGCCATCCTACTGCTTTCCCAGGCACATTAACAGGGAACCAGATCAGAAGTAGGGCAGCCAGGACTCAAACCAGTGCTTTGATAAGGAATGCCAGCATTGCAGGCCATAGCTCAACCCTATATAGCATATCTGTGCCACAACCATGGCCTTAGGTATCAGATATCTTGCTTAATATTTACAGCAGCCTACATGTGATAGGAGCTATTTCCCTGCAATTCTCAGACGTAGAAATAACACCTTGTTTAAGGCCAGTACTAGAACCCAGTTTGGTTGATACTGATCACTACACAAGGCCTTCTCACAAAGAAAGGGGAGCTTGGGAGGAGGGCAGTGATGTGGTGCAGACACACTGGTGTCCCAAAGCACGGTGACAGTTCAAATCCTTGGTACTCTGCTTCTGATCCTGCTTCCTGCTAATGCACCTGGGGAAGCAGCAGATGATGGCCCATGTACCTGGGTCTCTGGAACCCATCTGGGAGACCCGGATGGAGTTCCTGGCTCCTGCCTTTGGCCAGGCCCAGTCCTGGCCATTGCAGCCATTTGGGGCGTGAACCAGTGGATGGAAGATCTCTATCTTTCCTGAACCTCTGTTGCTCTGCCTTTCAAAGAAATAAATAAAAGAATGGAGCATGGAGAGGAAGAGGCTAGGAAATAAGGTCATGCACGTGGGAAAAGTACAAGAGAAAAGGATTTGTTTTCTGTTTATTTTGTTTTTATTTTTCAAGGAGGGTGAAGTATGAGATGTTATTAAAAAGGGCTGGTTGCTAAACAGTAGAGGAGGAAAGTATTTGAGTAGAACAATGGTTAAAAATAAGAGTGGCTGGGTACATTTTTGGAAGGGGGAAGTTCATCAAAATAGGACCCAAGAAAAGGAGAGACAAGAATAAGTGTAGAGGTTAAGAACTGCAGAGGAATGAGTACTGGGACAGTTGACTATTACGAGGAATGACTGGGCTCATACTGAGACTGTGTAATGAATAGATGGATGCAGGGAGGCTTCAGGAGTGATTTCAGTGCTGGCAACCACTTCCATTGCCTGTGCTGCAACCAGGAAGCCATATAAATGAGTCCCTGACAATGGTTGTTAAGGCAAGGCCTAAAAGTCCATTATTTATAATGTTACGTATTTTAGTAGCCCATGCTGCCAGATGTGAAATTATACACAAGGTTCATGTTAAAAAATGACTTCAGTTTTTCTTTATGGAAGTTACTAAATTCTCCACTGCCCACAGTAAGCCCATTGAGCAAGATTTGTGATGAATTTCACAGGCAGGCTCTTATTTGTATGGCTTTGCTCCTTCAAGAGCTAGCGGTAAAGGGAAACAAGTCTAGATTTTATTTCTCTTTGAAAGAAGAGAAGCTACAAGGAAGCTAAAAATCAATATGCAAGAGACTTATTTCAGGAACTTTATCAGATTGTTGTGAACAGGTGTGTTCAAACAAGGGGAGGAGAGATCATGCAAACCCGTGTACTAGAGTGGATAAACTTTTACACAGATAGCATCAGGGTGTGTACAGGAATCTCCTTTCACAGCACAAGCAATGTAGCCAACTTCACTACGCATCAAATGCTATTGTACTATAAGAAAGAAATAAAATCTTCTTCAGTTCCAGTCTCAAAATCCAGCCCTCAAAATCTAGACAGACAAGAATGGGTAAAATGGCTCTCTGCTGATGCTCCGCTGTCAGGATACTGTGGCCTGAGTTTGTGCTCAATTTCATTTTTAAGTCTTTTTGGTGGAGAAGCTTCACCTGGAAATATTATTTTAAACCTAGCATATCAATGCATTGTCGTGTGTCTGTGATGAAATAGCAAAGTTAAGAATCTATTATTAAGGAACCAAAGGCTTCCAAATCAATCTCTCAGTTAAGGGTTTAGTTCAAATGCACTCTCATTTCTACAGTACTTGCTTTTCATTTTCATAGGATCTTTGAATTTTGACAGTACCTATACCCAGAAACACTAAATTGGCAGAAAGGATGAAATCCAAACCAAACATCCAAAGCCCCTCGCTGTTTGGGTTAAACTTCTAGAAAGCTTCTAGAAAACTCAGGTTTTCATCACCCTAATTAGTTGTTTGAAATATTTACACAAAAATCGTCCATAGGAACAACTTGAGAGGACAAAATATAAAGTCATGTAGACATGTATCAGATTAATAGCACAAAAGAAGCAGAGCCAGTGATACCAATTCTTTTAATGGAGCTGCTGTCAGTTTTAATTGTTAATTGGAAGTCAAAATTTACAGTGCTGCAGGGATGTTCTTGTTTAAATTTTAGTCATGGTGTGATCAGCCATTTCTTTCACTTTCCGGAAATCTATTAGATACTAGTGTCACAAGAGGCTGAGAACAGAACTTTCAACACACATTCTCTTCTATCAAATCCCTAATTTTCATACCCCCTACAGAATACCATTGACTATACTTAGAAACAAAGGAAAAATAAAACTAAAACTCTTCTAGTTCTTAAGCAGATAAATGTATGAAATGCATAATCCCTCAATTGAGTGAAAATGTTATTAGGAACTACGTGTTTATTAATAAGCTATCACAACTTTTAGGAGAAGCTGTTTACAAGTTTGTGTTTACAAATATTCTGACTTTATAGCTGCTATGAGGGATAGTATAAGACATTTCCTCAAAAAAATTAAAGGTAGAATCACCGTATGATCAGTAATTCCACTTCTTGGTGTGGACCCAACAAGTGGAAGCAGGTAGTCAGACTGATGTTTGTGCTCCCACACTCACAGCGGCATTATTCACAAAAGCCAAAAGGTGAAAGCAACCCAAATGTACTTGGACATATGAATGGATAAAGAGAATGTGGTCAGGGGCCAGCTCTGTGGCATAGTGGGTGAAGCTGCCGACTCCAGTGCTGGCATCCCATATGGGTGCCGGTTTGAGTCCTGGCTGCTCCACTTCTGATCCAGCTCTCTGCTATGACCTGGGAAAGCAGTGGAAGATGGCCCAAGTCTTTGGGCCCCTGCACCTGCGTGGGAGACCAGGAGGAAGCTCCTGGCTCCTGGTTTCAGATCCGTGCAGCTCCAGTCTTTGCGGCCATCTGGGGAGTGAACCAGTGGAGAGAAGACCTCTCTCTCTCTCTCTCTCTTTGCCTCTCCTCTCTCAGTGTAACTCTTTCAATTAAATAAATTTAAAAAATTAAAAAAGAAATAAAATGTAGTCTACACATACAACAGAATATTATTTAACTTTAATCTGGGATGGACCTTTAAGATATTATACAAAATGAATCGAGCCAGAAACAAAGGAAGGAATATTATTTCACTTATATGAAGTTCTTAGAGTGATCAAATATAGAGACAGAAAGTCAAATGGTGGTTGTTAGGGGCTGGGGAAGGGGAAATGGAGAGTTATTTAATGTGTACAGAGTTTCAGTTGAAGATGACCGGAAAGTTCTGGAGATGAATGGTGCTGATGGCTGTACAACAATATGAATATATTCATGCCATTGAAATGTAAAATTAAATGGTAAATTTATGTATATATTTTTTAAAGATTTATTTAATTGCAAGTCAGAGTTACACACAGAGAGGAGAGGCAGAGAGAGAGAGAGAGGTCTTCCATCCAATGGTTCACTCCCCAATTGGCCGCAATGGTAGAAGCTGCACCGAAGCTAGGAGCCAGGAGCTTCTTCCTAGTCTCCCACATGGGTGCAGGAGCC